CAACTGTGTGATCAAAAATATTTGAAAAAATAAAATCACACTTGTACTAAACATAGATTTCATTTTCCTTGTGATTATTTCCTAAATGATACAGTCAAACAACTACTTAAAAAACATTTACATTAGTACTAAGTATTAAAATGAATCTAGAGATGATTTAAAGCATATGGAGACATATACACAAGTTCTATGTAAATATATACCATTTTATATAAGTATCCCATCCCAAACAAATACCAACAGATGACAGCCAAAAAAGGATATTGTATTTTAATAAAAACATTAATAAATACAATACAGTACAAATAGTTATGAAGAACTATTTTCAACCAGGCAACCAAAAAATTACTGGATTACTAGAACTATCTCAATGTTAGTGTCAGATTTCATAGTATATTTAAAATATCCCCAAACTGATTGCTAGCTTTGCCACTTACTAGTACAGTGACCTTGAACAAGTTACATATATCTGATTATTAATTTCATTTAAGTAAAAGAAATATTAAAATAAAATCAAATCCATACACAGTGCAGTGATTAGAATGTAGTAAAAACTTAAACCACAGCTTTTACTACTAAATTTTCACAAACATGTTTCTCTTCTCTTCAACTCCATATTAAGATCTACTTTTCAGCTCTGATCTTGGGTAATTCAAATTTCCACTAAACTAGAATGAACAATGAAATACATGCAATTTTTGGAACTGAATCTCTGAAACAAAATCAATTTAATGAAGTTGTGAAGGACCGCATGAGTTGTGTGTTCTAATATTGTCCTTTAGGGAGGGAAGACAAGGCCCTAAGAAGGTAAACTGGGCCTCCATACTAGCAAGGAAATCAAAATAAATCCGTGCAAAGAACAATGCAACCACAGCTACCACTTTTGCTTAAACCAATAGCTATTCATTTAACATTCAAAATTTGTTATCTCCAAAAAAGGCAAGTTGACTGTTCAAAAAAACCAAATGTTTTGTTTTCCATTTGTTTATATTTTCTATCTCAACGATATGTGGGGAACTAGTAAAATACTTAACTTAATTTCCTAAAAATCAAGTCTGTATTTCATTAGCATAACTACATGAAAAACAGAAAATCTAATATACTTGAGGAAACTCTGCTGGCTAGAAAGAGGCGACTGTGGGTTTAAAGTGTTCCTTGAGTTAAATTCTGAAAAGAAGTATTCCATAAATCACACATATCAGCCCTCATCTTGAAAACGAAAACTTCTTTTTAAATGAATTGGTTTTACAATATAAATATAGTTTTTTCTACATCCAATCTTTGTGTAACATAATTGACAGCTCTGTTGCTCTAGATTTTCTGTTACCTTGGGTAAGTTAAATAAGAACTGAACAAGTCTAAGAGTTTGAAAGAGTAGTTCTACTCTACCTAGAGAGAGTGAGAAACTGATGAATTTAATTTAGGGAAAAAGAAAATAAATAATTTGAAACTGGGGATTAAACTCAGGGTCTTACTTAAACTACATCCCCATTCCTTTTAATTTCTTTTATTTTGAGGCAGTTCAGGTTCTCTGTCAAGTCACTAAGTTAGTTGCCCAGGCTAGGCTCAAACCTGTGATCCTCTTCCTCAGCCTCCGGAGGCTGAATTTACAGATGTGTACAAGTGGTTTAGGGTAAGTCTTTAAATAACAAGTGTTACTCCTAAACTCTGTCAGCCCACATAATGTTTCCACAGCATCCTACAACTTTTAACACTGGGCAGACCAGAGGAGAAAATTCAAATTAGAGCATTTTAAATAATGCTTTAATTATTTTTTAGGTATATTAACAATATACCTTTAGCAATATTAGCAATATACCTTTTAAAAAAAAACTAGTGCTATTAAATGAAAACATGCCACTTTTCAACAAATTGAAGTTATATATGCAAATAGGAGCTGAGGGGAAAAACCACATAAAATTTTCCTCACGCCTCCATTTCCATGTTATGGCCTTATAAAATTAAATAACCTATTAATAAACTTTTAATACAAATTGAACAAAGTCTAACCATAAAAATGTCCATTTTTTTTTATCAGTACCAGGGATCGAACTCAAGACCGCCTGCTTGCAAGGCAGGTACTGAAAAATGTGCATATTTTCACATGATCAAAGATAAGCTTTAAGTTCATCTTAACCATAGACAACTCAAAATAGGTTATAGACTTAAATGCAAGAGCTAAAACCCTAAAACATACAGGAAAACAATGAACCATAAAGCTCTGAGAGCATGGGGGTAAGTGAGGGTTTCTTATCTATAATACCAAAAGTGTGGTCTATTAAAAAAATTAATAAGACTTCATGAAAATTTTAAACTTTTATACTTCAAAAGACATCGGATGTTTATATTAGCTTTGCTCAGAGGCAATATTGCAACCAATGAAGTTAATCTGAGGCACAATTATTGCTAATCGAAAGACATTTATTTTGGCTCCTGGTTCTGGAGACTGGGAAGTCCAAGAGCACAGTGCAGCACTGCTAAGCTTCGGGGAAAGACCTCACACTGCTTTATCTCAAGACAGAAAAGCAGGACAAACTAATGCACAGCAAAGGGACAAAACATGAAGTGCAAACTCACATCTAACAATCTACCTTAGGAGGGCAGACAATAACAAATGCTGATTTAGAAAGCAGAAAACAGGGAACTCTTATGAATTGCAGGACAGACCGTGACAGCATGCAACCATTTTAGAAAACAGCTTGACAGTTTCTCAAAAGTTAAACATAGCACTGAGATACGACCTAGCAATTCTACTCCTAATGCGTACCCAAGATATAGAAAAACGTGTCACATGTACTAAGGACAGTTTTAAAAATCACTTTAACTGGAAAAATAGGAAAAAACATGTCCACATAGGTCTGCATGTAGATACCCACGGTGGCATTATCTGCAGTAACCCAAAACCTAAAACAATGTCCATCAACTAGCGAAGGTACAGACACACTGTGGCATATGCACACAATGGATATTATCCAACAATAAAAAGAACTAGTGACACATGCTATATTATGCAAGCACCACAAAGCACTGGTTAAATAAGCCAGAAATGAGAGAGTCCATATTCAATGACCACAATTATTAACTGTTCAGAAACTCAAATTTTTGAAAACAGAAAATAGGTTAATGGTTTCCAGGGACCAAGGATGGGAATGGAATGAACTGTAAACATGTATAAGTGATCTCACTGTGGTGTTGTACAACTGATCCACAAAGACTGATGCAACACTTGATAAAATCATTAAAACCTGTTGAATCATACATTTAGAATACATAAATTTTATGGTGTGTAAAATATAGCTTAATAATGTTTTTAAAAATGCATGTGCTCGTTTCACTGGTTCCTTGAATTTAGTAATTTGAGATAACAACTTTTATACTACATATTAAAAAAAACTATACAGACTCTTATCTTGGATAGGAAACCACAGCATCTCCTTAAAAGAAAATGTAATACAGTGTTAGGAATATTCTTCCACTTGGCCACCCATTGGACAGGGAGGGATTCTCCAAGAAGTGGCTTGCCCATAAATTAAAGTTCCTTGTGTTAGCTTATATTTGAAAAAGCCACTACCTGGAAGCAGCTCTAAGTTGTCCTTTGACAATGGCTAATTGTTCTGATGACTACAGTGTTCTGCATTTAGACTATAGTAGAATTTTTAAGTACTCCAAAAATGTTTAGCACAACTTGAAAGGACATATGGTTAAATTACATAACTTGAATACATTTCCATATGTCAAAAACATCATCTGCTTGCATAACTGTGTAATGTAACACAACAGTCCTCATCAGTGACTTGAAATGACAGGCAATGTTACAGACATTACTCCAAACCTAGTTTGACATTAGTCCCAAATGTTCTAATTATCCATTCTTCTTATATGAGGTGTCAAAACTAATTCAGAACTTCACAAGACTTCACAGAATTTTACAAACTTTTTAGATCTTTACACAAATACCACTTTGTGAGGCCCTGTCAGACTACTTAGTTAAAACCTGCACCTGCCAACCTCAGCAAAGTCCCTGTACTCCCATCCCTTATGCACCTGCTTAATAGCTGAAACATAAATTTTACATACAAATTCTGGTGTTCTCTACGAGAAAGCAAGCTTCATGAAAGACCAAATTCTGTTCTTTGCTGTATCCAAAAGGTCTTGAACTGTGCCTATCACGTGCTAAATGCTAGTAAGTGTTTCTGGTAAATTGTTAGGGAGGTACAAGTACACAGGAGCTGATTCTTACCCCTGGAATGAACAATTCTCATCTCTCCAATGTCTTCACTTAATGTTAAAACATGATTTTTACAAGAAAATAAAGACCTCGGAATAAAATCCCCAGGTTGTCTACTAAGCATTTACCAGGGGGGGAGGAGACAATGTTTCACTTACAATTCTAGATTTGTAGCAGTATTTTTAACGAGCTAACTGTAGCTCTGGAGAGAGGACAAGTTAATTAAACCCCATGTGACTGTCATTAACAACACAACAAAGGAAAGTTTAATATTTAACTACTAAGGAGTACTGTATATAATCCCCACAGCAGCCTGCTTTGCTACAGCCAAAAAGAAATTCCGTCTCTAAAGAAAGCAGATCTCGCCAGAACATGTCTTAGTGATCCTGGTTGCTCCAAATCCTGCACCAGGGGACAGTTTTCCTTCCCAAAAGCCTTCCAACCCACACACATGCCGGCTGCACCTGCCCCGACCTGCCAGAGCGCAAGGCAGCCCAAGCTTGGCGCCTGGGCCCGAGGAGCCCGGGCAGCCGCTCCGCGGGGAGGCGCCCACCTGCCGGCCTCCGCCCCGCACCGCCAGCGCCGGTGACCTTGGGCGCATAACCTCCGGGCCCGCCCCTGCCCCCGATGGGAGGCTAGGCGCGTCAGGGTCCCGCACCGCCGCCCCCCGGCCTGGCCGGGCCCTCGCCGCGCTGGAGCGGAGAGCACGCGAGGTGTGGCTGCCCCGACCCCGGCCCGCCGCCCCGCGCGTCCCGGCCGCCGCGCACTCAACTCTTCACTTTGCCGAAGGTGCCGACGCCCAGCGTGTCCCCCAGGACATAGTGCCCGATCTTCACCCGCCCGTCGTGCTTCTGTTTCTCAGCCATCTTCGGCGCGCAGCCTCGCTCCGCAGCCCTCAGCCGCGCCGCAGCCGCAGCCGCCGCAGCCGCCACAGCCGCCGCAGCCGCCACAGCCGCCGCCTACCCACACTGCAGCGGGCGAGTGGAGGTAGGCGGGGCGCAGCGAGTGGGCGGGGCCAGAGGGGCGGTGGAGGGCGGGGCGTGGTGCGGGGCGGGGAGCCAGGGAAGCCTCAACTCCGAGAGGGAGGTGAGGTGAGGTGGGGTGAGGTGGGGGGGGGGATGGTCCGGGCCGGAGGGGTGGGCGGAGCTTCGTCCGACGTGCGGTTGTCAAGGGCGTGGGCTGTTCGCCGCACGTGCTAGGTGCTGCGGGGCGACCCTGGCCCGCGGAGCACTGAGGGGCGCGGCGACGTCGTCCTGAGGAAAACCGCGGGAGGCGCGCGGGGCTGAGGGCCTCGCGGGGTAACGAGGGCTGGAGCGAGCGGGAGCGAAGCCGAAGCTGAAGCAGCACAGGGCACCGGCGCTGGGCGGACGAGCGCCGGAGCTCTGGAGCGGCCCGGCGGGCGCTGCCGGCGCACGCGCGCTGCTGGCGGGAGCGGGCGGAGGGAGGTGGGCGGGCAGGAGGCGGTGAGGGGCGCGAGGCGCGCGGGGCGGGGGGACGCGAAGCGCGACTGGGAGAAGCGCCCGCGTCCTCCTTCCCTCTCCGCTCCTTTCCCGTCTCGCCTTTTGAAGGGGTCCTCGCGTGATGCCCACCTTTCAGTGCCTAAAAATCATTTGCTTTGCACTACAAAAAAATCAGAAGCACGCGAGCTAATGCCTAGGTCAGTTAGCTCCATGTCGTCGCTCCACAGAGTGCACGCGTTTCCAGGCGTGTTGTACGCAATAAATAGGCAGCTTTTGTCAATGAAAAGCTAACTTTTTTTCCTTCTTTGCTGTGCTGGACAATAAAGCCAGAGTCTTGCACTACTGCGGTACTCTAGAGCGACGTCCATGCGGGGGGTGGGGAGCAGTTTAACAATGACAAAATAAAAAGAACCTTTGCTCTTCGGAGATAATTCTTAAGGATGAGTCAAACATTTACAGTGTCTTGTGCGCTAATAGTATTTCAAGGTCACATTCTTTAAATGTGAGGTCTCAGGAATCACACTATTTCTATGTGAAAAGAAATTAATTAGAAAAGGATGTAACAAACTTGGTTTTCTGAGCAGTTAGGTATACAGAAATGACGAGCACATTAATTCTTGTCCACACCCAGGACCAGCTAATGAGACTATCCTGCTTATTAGTTATAGACATTAACAGCTGTCGAACATGAGCTATTTTTGTTCATTCTTTGGATCATCTTTCTTGCTGACAAGAAGTGTCATTTAAGAGTCACTCTACCTAGCTGGCAATTTTGAGAAAATAGCCAGCTATTTTTAATACTGAACTTTTATTTGGCTAGGGCCCTCTCCAGTATTCATTCAAGTAAGAATATAAAATACTGACTAGCTTTTGAGATACGGATATATGCTGTGTCTTAACCCCCAATAAAAAACGTTGATAAGTCTCCACTTGAAATTAGAATGATCTCTTGAAGCTACAATGAAGCTAACCTAAGCTTTTAAAGCTTGTTGCACTGGTTTCACTATTACTAGTTCTAGGTTAAATCATTATACGCTTCAGAGCTATGATTCTTACAGAGATGCTCTGGGCTACTTCATCATAGAGCTGCATTTTTGCCCATCTTGTATGATAACTTTGTTGACAACAGAATTATCCGTTTGTCATAAGCTTCTCCTTATCCCCATTTTATAAGTGATAAAATTGAGTTTTTCTCTTCATGATTCACCCAAGGTTTAAAAGCTAAGTGGCAGGACCAGGCTCCTTTGCATTTCTGACTTCTTACCATTCTGCCGCGTCCAAGCTAGACAGAAGAGCACACAGTGCTCGAAGCATGCTTAAAATGTTCACAATCACAGTTCCATCCTCGCATTTGTATTTCCAGGGAAAGCAAATAATAGATCTTTTTAATTTCATTCTTTGTTGTTCGCTGAACTTTCATTTGGAGCTAAGTCTGAATGATACATGGCTGAGAAGGGAAGCAGACTGTGGGTAGTAAGGTTTGGTTTTCCATTGCCCTAGAGAGCTGTTCAGTGCTTTCCCTCTTACTGTTGAACTGTTAGTATTTTTTTCCCCGCAAATATTCTAAAACAAGGTCTGAATAGCAGATGGGTGGAGTACACCAGACCCATAGACTATGCTAGACTGCCCTGGTGTCATATCAGCAACTTACTCTTTCAAAGTCACCTCTAGGAAGCCTACCGTGACCAGCCTGTTTAAAACTGCATTCTCACCTATAACCCTGCTTGGTACTGCACATACGCACACACATTATCCCTCACCCTCCCCAACTATTTACTGTGGCACTAATCTAACAAACTATTATTTATTATTTTGTGTTCAGTTTAGTCTGTCTTCCAACTAGAACATTAATCTCTCGTCATGAAGTCTGATTCAAATGTCCTATTTTGTTCACAAAAGAAGGACTTTTTTCCAGTGTTCCACTGCGGTTTCCTTAGCTTCCACAACAGTTGCCTAAGAATCTGTAGGCAGCCAGCTGGATTCAGGTTAATGACACCCTTAAAAGAATAACAAGTACACAATTGGGCAGAAAAGTATGTATTTGACATGAAAAACAACCAACCGAGGATTTAAAAAGAAACTGGCAAATACCGCAAATATCCCCAAATCCAGAAAAATATTTTCATAAATCAACATACTTGTATACTGTCTACATCTATCAGTATATTCACTGATTATCTTTTTATATTTTACAGCTTTTAAAAGAAAGATAGCTCTAATAAGTAGAGGCGTTTTCTAACAGAATCATACTAGTAATAGCTAACAAATATATGAATTCCTGTAATGGGACACCCTCCTATTTTCAATTTCCCTTGATTATATTAAGAATGGACTTTTACATTCAGTTTATTCTAATGAGGATCAAAAAAGTCACACTTAAAATTTTATTGATGTTGCCTATGTTTCTTTCATTTTACAGTGGTTTCTTCTCTTTTTAAATATCATCTATATGTGGAAAATTGGGTCATTTTACCTATTTAATATTCCAAGCTACATTGGCTTTACCTCAATAATTATTTGTGATCATAAGAGTTAGAAGAAAAAGCACAGTGTTCAGAATTTAAAAACCTTAAGTTCTTGTTTCAGTAGAAGGATTTAATTTCTCACTGGTATTAGATTAGATTATATTAAAAGTACTTTTCAGTTGTTAATGCATTTCACTCCCAAATCTAACTTCTTATTTTAGAATGAAATTATCAAAGGAAAGATACAGAACTTATTGTAAAATATTATAACAAGAATCCAGTGTATTCCTACAAGACTGTTTGATCTTGGCACAATATTTCCCCTATACTCTTGGTATTTATTTATTTATGTTTATATTTTGTTGGTTTTTTTAGGATAGGGTTTCACTGTGTAACCCAGGCTAGCCTCAAGCTCACAATCTTCCAGTGCCAGCTAGCTTTGAACCTCTTGACATTTCTTACCTTTGGTTTTTAAGATTGAGAGAAGAATATTGTCTGACCAACCCCCTTTAAACAGATTAGTAGTACATGTGACAATCCTTAAAGTCCCTTGAAGGAAATGTAATATATAACTTCTATATTTTACTATTAGTAGGTACCCTAGTAACAAATGTCATACTTAATCCATTTTCATTTTGTGGCTGAATACATTTCTAAATTGCTTCAATATGAGTCAATATTAAAATTTTTAGTGTAGCAGAGAAAAAAATAGGACATTTGAATCAGACTTCATGAAGAGAGATTAATTTCAATAACAAAGATTGTTTGCTGTACAAACACTGTAGAACTGACAGCTTTTTTAGAATCTTACTTTCATGTGTGTGTTGACAGCTTATCTGAAAAGGAAGCTCAAACACTTTTAGATCAGTTAAATCAATTATTTACCCCCTGGCATGAATTTCATAACTATCTCTGCTAAATACTCTTACGCTAGTAAAGTTTGAATAAAGAGATAACAATATCACCTTGAACTGATTATTTCTGCTCTGGCTGTCCTTTATAATTAAAACAACCCTAAGCATGCTTAATAAAATTGACAGTGTATGTATTATTTGAATTCTTTCATAACATACTTCTAATGACCTCAAGTGAGTGTTAATGCTTTGGCAGCTGGCTTAATCCTGTTAACATTAACTGCAAAACTTTGACATGATTAATTGATGCAAAGAAGATAAACTAGGTAATTTCAAAAGTTCCAAATGCTCTAGAAATATCAAAATAATTCTCCCTCCAAAAATAAAGACTTTAAAATGAGCCCGAAAATTCAGTTCTGTTACTTGATTGGAATGTGACCTTTGACAAGGTACCCTCTGAGGACTCTTAACTCTGAAATTATATTTCTATGAAATTACATTGTGTTAATAATGTTTAAAGTATTTATTGGTAAATTTCATATTCAGTTTTTTAAATACTGTGCTTTTAAAGTGCTGTGAAAACAGTTATTTCACCAGCTAAAGGTTCCCAGCTTCTCTGAGTATATTGTTCTTTTATTCTAAATACATTCACTCACTGAACAAAGATACATTCACTGCATGACCACAAAGGGTATGATATTACTCTAAGCACTGATGGTATAGTATAGAACTACACAGGTTGCAGTATGTCTTGTTCACCATTCATAATGTTAGCATTTGTTAAAAAGAAATTATTCATGACACTTACTAAATACAGTCAGACAGACTTTATTCAAAACTGTTGTAACAGATATGGGGACCACTGTAAAGGAGTTTTCCAGAGAGAGAGAAAGAAACAGAGAGAGTGAGAGAGGACTCAGCTCCAAATATAGCAAAGAAAAGTAGAAATTTGCAAGCAAGGAGGTAGGCGAGTTATGTTGATAGAAAATTACTAACAGGGTAGGGAAACTGCCTGCTAAACTGACTTAACAAATCTTGCTGAGGCAGAACACAGTAACCAGACACTTACCGGGAAGATGGACGTGGGTGATTAAAGAATTTAGTTAGATATCGAGGACAGGGAATTATATCTGAACTGAACAGAATTCTTG